ATATTTAGTTTTTGCACTTAATGTTCTACGATTTGTATGAGTTTAAAAAAAATCATATTCGGACAGAAAGTGAAGTAAAATTAGTATTACGTAACCGTTACTAAGGGGAGAAAGTATATGCTGTTTTAGCACCGCTAATTGTTTACGAAAAACTATGTAATAAATTATCACTTTTATCCACAAACGCAATATTGAAAGAAACGTCTGTGAAGTAAATATTAACAACGTGAGGAATTTTTTTTAAATAGTGGCATAACTTTGAAAAAAATATTAAAGTGACATTTATGGTGTCACTGCAGTGCCTTTGACCGCGAGGTCCTATAGGGTTCGAATCCCAACAGTAGCAGGATTTTCGACTAGCTAGACAGCTAGGTAGAGTTTAGCTGCTGTCTGGAGAAGACTTCTAGAGGTCGGCTGGTCTGATCGGTAGTCATCCGTGGTTTTCCCTATCAACATTGCAGGTGAATGCCAGAGCAGTACTCTACCGCGCGCCATCTGTTTTTCCTCTTTGTCTAATCCTCGCCTTTTACTTACACTCGCATACAGTGCCGTACCGATCTCGGGAGGCTAGAGCTCGTCCCGGTTGGGGCGACGTAGGTCGGCGCCGGATCAGCGGGGAAAGATCACCGCCACCTCCCGCGATTAAAACATGCACTACACTTACGGGACTAATGACCTTAGTAGTTGACGCGCATGGAAGCACTAATGAACCAATCACAAACTTATAGTAAGCATTATGTGAAAAGGAAAAACTCGTGATTTCTAAGCCGGCTTGGGAGGTGAGCTACATGCACATGACATCGCGAAGCGTTGCAACCCAACCTTCGTGTTGTGCGTGCGGCCTTGAGAGGGAAAGTAAAGAGAAATTGCGAAGCAAGACGAACATTATACGGTGAGCGACGAGATTCCGTTTGCCTTTCATCCTTAGAAGTGATCTCAGAAGGAAACAAAATAATGAAGAAATCCTACGTGTTGTAATTTGTCAGAAGAATTACACAGCCATGTAGTACGCAGAAAAATGAGAGGAATTTTTTTCATGGGCTTCGAAGTGGAAGGTATATCACAAACAAAAGGTTCTTTTCGAGGTAGAAAAATGTCACAGGAACAAGAAATGAAACAAATAACAATTAAACAGTGTATGAAATATAATATTTTTTGATTCAGAATAAGCTAATGAAATGAAATAATAATAGCTACTACAATACACTTTTTCTGCGTTTTTAGGAATCTTCATCATTTTAGTCTTTTGTTTGTTAGGCATTGTTTTCACTTAGCACCTATGTTTGTTTCCATCTTGTAGAAAATTATAAAGTATCTTTAGCTTAACATTCTACGGTAAGTTGTTTAACAGTAATATGCAACGTGAAATTTACTGTTAACATTTTACAGGCAAAGTTATCGTGAGAACAAGAATGTTTTAGAATTGTTGTCTCTATCATAATTTGAATTTTTTTCAAATCTAGCTCGCGACAGCAACACTAATGACACATTGTCCTTTGGACGTAAAGTTCATCGTCCTTTCTGTATCACAAAAAGCTAAAATGATACTTTTCATGTCATCTGCCACGATTCGAAACTAGAGATGCTCGACGATATATACTTTCTCGCATTATTGCAAACGGTTACGTAATATTGTCATCAGCAGCATGGATTAGGCTCTTCTATCCTGTTCCGGCAAAGTTGTCTACAGAAAACCATCTCTTCTTTGTTCTTCCTACTTCTCTTTTTCCTTTAGAGACAGTAATATGCCGGTTTGGGCAATTTCTCGTTGTTCATTCTTTGAAAATGGTCAATCCACTTTTTTGTGTTTATTTTGTATTGCTTACGTATTTTGTTGTTTATTTATATGCATTTATTTTGTTTCTTGTAAGCTGGTAATTCCCAATTCTTCTCTTATATCGTCATTTCTGACATGGTCCATTCATGTGCATATTTCCACATACCTCAGAAATATCATTTCTTCTGCGATAATTCTCCTGTTTTCTCTCGATGTTGTTACCCATGTTTTGCACCCATACAGAAGTGTAAGTATTGGTCATTGTTTTATAAAGCTTGAGTTTGGTTTCTTTTCGTGCTTTCGTTTCCAATGTTAGTTTGATAGTGCCGCAGATAGTCTGAAACTTAGATATTTTTTGTTGCACATCAATGTCAGGAAGATATGTTATGTTGCATCCTAAATATTGGAACTTGGATACTTGTTCGATATGGATGTTATTTATTACTATTTTGTTCGTAATACTATAATATTGCAATTTCTGCCCTCAAATTTGCAAAAAAATTGCAAGTTCAAACAAATTCAAACTACCTGTGGTGCAAGTCCGATTACGTCCATAGTCAGAATGGAACTTCCCTTTATTTCTTCTACGATACAAACATGAATAAATTTTTCTATTACATTTAAATCACGTATTCAGAAAAGCAATTTCTAATAAGAAGTATACATGGAAATAAGGCGTAAAAGACAATAGATAATTAACCTTGCAAAAATGTTAGTTTTTAATAAAAATGTTCTAAAAAAATAAGTCTAAAAATATCACTTACAATTTTTTAAAACAACGAGTAGTATTTGCATAATCTTAGCCTTTAGTGCAATTTATATTTTTTTCACAAAACGGCTCCAACTTTTTTATTCATTTTTTTCCCCACGGATAGAAAAAAGGACGTTTGAAAATCAGAGTTCTCCTCTTTCTGTTTATCTCTGAAAACCAGAGTTGACCTCTTTCTGTTTATCTCTCTGAAAAAACTGCATTTTCTCAAAAACAGCTGCAAGTATTTGAATGACAGTTTGAATATAAGACCATATTTAACTCGTCTACAATTTTCCTACAGTCATATTTCAATTCAATTATTAAAAGGCCGAAAAATTGAGAAAATAATGTCTTTTAGGAATCAATAGATGACAGCTGGGAAGAGGTTTGGGCAACATTGAATAGCTAACACATTCAAGACATACGAAAACGAACTGTCTATGCCATTCTGTAGCACCACTAGTTACTTTCTCGCATTTTTCTTAATTGTACAGAGAAAATACTTTAAATCTGTGACAAAAGAGATGTTTTACTATAGAAAAATGCAGTTCGCGGGATCCTGGTGTTGAAGCAATTGGATAAATTTCGTTTATATACTATATAGTAAATTACTTCCTCTAACAAACATTAAAGTTAGTAGATTTTGTGGATCTTTTATTTCGAAAAATTGGTTTACAGCAAAACGTCTTTGTCTGTCCGTTCTTTCATCCATCTCTGGTCAACGCTAGTGAAAAGGAGATGAAACTATTTTGTCTAAATTGATATTTTGCGGCAGGCGTCTTCAGTGGCGATGCTGGCGGGGGCAGAGTGCTCTCACTGGTGGCGATTGTAATGCGTCACTGCAGTCTACGGCACCAGTGAACTTGAATTGAAAGTGATTTCTGTTGTCGGTGACAGTACAATATTTTTGTTTGTAGCTAGTTTCGATGACGAAGGAGTTTTCAAGCTTAATTCGGTTGTATAATCTAATATTTTTGATATGGCTTTGCAATCTAATAATAAAAATAGTATTTTTTTAAATTGGTTAAAAATTAAGATACGTCTTATAGTTCGTAAAATACGATAAGTGGACTATTTTTAACCATCGTAGGAGTGGCGTGCATTCAACCCCAGCACTTCTAGGGTAAGCAAACACTAAGCAAAAATAAGAATTTGATGAATTTTGAGAGTAAAAATTACAACGAACTGTATGTCACCTGATAAAAAATATTGCACCCACTGCACACTCTATTGCGGCCTGTGCGGCGCGGCGGCCTACTGCTTCTGCAATGCTCTAACCTCAGCTCTGGCATCTTTGCTGGGGCTGCGCGTTACGCGCAGGGCCAGGGGCAGGCCAGGCAGCGACTGCGAAGAATCAAATGCACTGAACCCTAGCTAGCTGGAGATGGATGCCGTTTCTCCCACTCCCGCTGCTTCAAGGCCAGGTCTCGTAGCCTAGCTCATGCTGAGAGAGATGGCTCAGGGCATTAACTGATGTCGCTGCAGTCTGGGAGGTCCTGGGTTCGAGTTCCGACGGAGGCAGGAGCTTCAACACTGGCTTGTCAGCTAGATCGGATTCAGTCGCTGCCTGGAGGAGAATTCCAGGGGACGGCTGCTCTGATTGATAGTTTTCCGATCAACAGCACCAAGCGAATGTCGGAGCAGTACTAACAAACGGATTGCGCCTTGTCTTATGCTCGCCCCTGCCACACACACTTACACTAACATGCACTACACCACCACACGTGCCGGGAGACCAGTCGGGAGTTTAGAGCGTGTCTCGACAGCCCCGCTGATGAGAGATACCTGGTTAAGGAAAATCCCGTCAGCCGACGGTAGATCGGCGCCGGATCTCGGATAATATTGATTATGGGGCACATATTTCTCTCTGTGTAATTAGAGTGAACCAGAATGTTCAATAGATATGTTATTAATTCTTCTCAGGAAAAAGTTTGGACTCACTTGTGATCATATCCCTAGAATCCTCGAATTTATGAACAGCCCAGCGTATTCGTCTTGGAGAATCAATGTGCGAGTCAGAGCTGTGCGTTACGCAGTGGTGATCCATTGTCGTGTTTACTCGTTATTTCGTGAGGATTTGTAGTAACTTTGAAGTGCAGTAAAAATGCTTTGTCCAACGAGTATCAAGAATAATTCTGTGTAGTATGTCTTCCAGTGAGTGTATATTGATAATATATTGAGGACACCATTTTCAAGGAGATAATTCCACGAGAAAGATCAGGCAATTGAAACTGGTAGGCCCACATCAGCATTCGCACAATTACAGCAGATAACAAATAAAGTGTGATTGGTGGGGGGAACCACCTAGCCGCTAGCAGCTGCGATATACACAAAGTAATCACCGCACGCCCCTGCATCGCACTCGTAGAAGTATATTGTGAACTTTTATATGAAATGCTCCCTCCCTGAAAAAAGCATCTGCATCAGCCGTTGCATTAGAACTCACGGAACTGACGTAAGACGTGCAAAAAAATGGCAAAGCTTCCTAGCACCTCTAGCATGGAGAAAGTAGACGTGATCTGGGAAGTGAATAACAAAGAAGAAAACTTCCCTCTGCACAAAGCACCGGAAGACGCCATACAATCTAGAAGTCGAGATAAAGTCTTCACTTCCCGCAGATCAACCCTGTTCACATGACTTTCTTGCAGTAGTCAATGATGAAACATAGAAGTCTTACACGAACCTTTCCCTATACTAATCAACGTAGTTTCAAGTTCCAATCGAAGATAACTCTAGGACAGCAATAACAGATGAACATAAATTTACTTTGAAAATACCTCACAAGAACGATCATATGAGTTTCATGGAAACAAATTATGTATACGAACTGACAGCTTCTAAAAATAGTTCACGTTAACATTTTTCATAAAATAATTTAATAGCATTTAAAATTCGACTAAAAACATAAGACATACATACTGTTCTTTTCATTAAGCGAAATTTTCATGTCAGCAGTCTACTACAATGTTCAAGTTATTTCATATAGAAGAAATTAAAAATTATTTGTGATATAATATGACAGTTATCTATTTCCTGAATGAATGAATGGAATAAATTTTAAATTAAAAGAAATAAGAGTCGTCCTCAAATAATGACATTCTGCACAATAGTGAACAACCATGACACCATCCTTCCATATTCACATTCCGTTTGGCTGAACAAATTGCAATGAAACGAGATCTCCGGAAGAGAGAAGGCAAAACAAGAGAACCGGAACATTTCGGATCAACTCTGATACAGCTCGTATCGACGACAAAACCCGCTTTTGTGTCATTAATCGATAGGCTTCATGGGCATTCTGCCTCCGTCATGGAACTTCAAATCGAATCGACACACGGCCACCTGACTGAACTAAACTAGCGCTACGAAGGCAAGTACATTCTCGCCTGCATTTTCACGCGAAATTACGCGAAAAGGACTCTAATTTTCGAAAACTTAGGCATCACCCTATTTCAAAATCTATCTTTAAGGAACATATTTTATTATGGGGAAAATATCTAACTTTAATATTATAACTGTAGGAAGATTCCGAAAAAAATTGAATTTAATGCAATTTTCGAAAAATCAGAATTTCCAATCAGAAAATGAGACCTGCACCATTATCTTAAACGTCCTTCACACTCTCTTACTTTAAAAGTTAATGAAAAAAAAGGAGCCGTTTTTTTAAAAAAATTTGGAAATGTCCCGGGGGCTTCACGTAATGTACCCCACAAAATTAAAATATCAGTATCTAATTCAAGGGTCCGTGACATCAGCCAGAGCAATTTGGGAATATCAATTTTGGAGAAACCGGACTGAACGGTTTAGCCGTAGCGAAGTTCACAGACGGTCGGACGGACGTTTCGCCATCATTCGATTTTTCAATATTAAGGACCCACAAATCATGGATTCTGGTTTCTATATTTGGCAACTGAATTTGCACACTTTTTCGTTACTAGGACCCTGTAGTTAGTCTTTTCTGCCGAAAATTCGCCGTTTTCGCGCATTACATAATGTTCTCTGTCTTCCGTAGGGAGAAAGTGAGAATTAATATAAACTGTGAGATATTGCGATTACTTTTCTTTCACTCAGAACTTCAATTCAAGTAAATAACTCTGATGAGAGAAAACATTTGTCCACAAGATAGGATGAAGAGAAATTTCTGACAACTTACTGAGCCCTAAAATTTAGTTGAAAAACGGACGATAATATAGAAGAAAATATGAGAACTGTACTAGAAATATTGAAGTGTTAGATGTTAAAATACAGTTGAGTTTCGAGGAGAAATTAATTGTAGAGGAGTCTTACAGGAATTTGGATGGAATGAAGGCACGACAACTTGTGGAACAGGAACCTTCCTAAATGTTATGACAGTTTGGGATCTGAAAATCGCAGTTTGCAAATACATAATTTATTTTAAATATGGTTACAGAAATTGTATATTAAATTACTTTTTAATAAAAATGTCCTCATTGCACGTAGACATAATGTAACACGTGACTCGTTATTTTTTTTAGTATTAACTATTCACGAATCTAACCATTTTTTAAAATTCTAATATTTTAATTCAAGATTACAACGAATGTTTTGATGAAGGGATCGCAACAAGTCATGAAATGTGTCTTTCGAAACTTCATGTTAATGAAATAAATCACAATACTACCTCCGAAGTTATTGCATTAATCCACAAGAAAATGTATTCCACTAATCGTAAAAACGTTCCCTCGAAATGATTTTCGATATATTAAACTTTTTGACGTACAAAACGTTTCAACATATAAAACTACTTTGTGTCAATCTGTTTCTAAAGAGAAACAAACTGATCTAAACGAATTCTGTAAACGTTTGTAATTTTTAATTTCAATAAGTAATATATAATGCATAATTAGCCGTAAACTTCCAATTCACAACTTCCCATCGTCAAGAAATTTCAATTGATGTCACTGTGGTGCCTCTGACCGGGAGGTGCCAGGTTAGAGTCCTTACAGTGGCAGGATTTTTGACACTATCTTGTGAACGTAATTCAATCGTCTGGAGGAGAATTCTAGTTTTCCGTGGTTTCTGCAATCAACACCAGGCGAATGCCGGAGCGCTCCTCTTTTAAACGGGCCACGGACCCCGCGCGATCTTTCCTTCCTCTTTATCCTATCCTCGCCCCTTACTTACACGCACACTTACTTGCATTACACTACCGCACATGCCAGGGACAGGTCAGGAGCTTAGAGCGTCTCCGGGCTGGGGTGATGCTCCGCTGGTGGGAGATACCTGGTAGGTCGGCACCGGCTCGCCATCCAACGGGGAAAGCCCCCCAGGAAAACCCGCTACACTTATGGGAATAATGGCCTTGGCCCTTAACGTGCCCGGAATCACTAATAATCAACTAGCATCGTCAAGAAATTCAGCTTCATAAAGTTAAACTTTCTGTTGTATTAAGATAATACTCTTAAGAATTGTCGTGGGTCAATGGCTTTGGACCGGAAATTCAAACAACTAGTGCACTGCAGCAGCAAAAATGGTGCTGAAATAAAACAAAATGGTTTTAAATAAAAGAGTACGCAGAGTTTTCAATGAATTAATCTTGTATAACACTGCAATAAATTAAATAATTTAACAAAATGTCTTCCCAATTATTGCAATAACGATATACTAGCATAGACAATGTCTCAGAAAAACATGTAACAAACTTATAGAGGGGTAGAAAATTATCCCTTCTATCAACAAAAAAGTTTAAATTTATATAAAGATGTTACATGCACTTGCAAATTTGCATTTATTGTTAATGTTTGAACAAACCCATATGCACAATGTTCAGCAGGTATATGAAATGACCTTGACTGGGTCAGAACGTGGCCTGCCGAACATCTGTGTAGTTGGGTTTGCCTATGAATCAGGAGTAAATGCCACATGTGTACACTTGTATTTGCATTGAGCCATTAATGTTCCGTAAAGGGCAATTGGAGTCGGCGCCGTTAGCTCCCGGGTTCCTCGTTGGTCAGCAAAGCAGGAACCGCGGTGTATCGAATTCGCTTTCACCCTTCGTGACCACGCAGTTCACGAAATCGGCTAGCGACGCCGTTTCGCGGTCGTGGCCTTTCAGTAAAACTGATCCAGCATTCGCCTGGATGACCGAGGGAGGCCAAGAAAACCTCGGTGGGAATGGCCGGGAAGGGGAATGAAGTCGGGCATCCCGAATGCAAAGCAGCGCACTACGCCCTGAGCCACTTCGCTCAGTACATGTGTAAATGCAACGGAACTCCGTTATAAGCACTTTTGCGTTAATGTTCTTTGGCACAATGCCAACATTCTCGACCTGTCTGCACGCCTTAGAAGATTGTAGCATTTATTTCAAAGACACTGTATATACTACAACCGTTTTTTTAAGTACCAAGAATATCGAAAAGAAAGTTGCTGTTCCTTATCGAAATCCATAAATAGCAAATATTTAATAATGGGTGGCCTCTTGCTTGGAGCTTTGCAATATCTTGCTCAGCTGTGATACACTTAGTAATGATTGGAATTCAATCGGTACGAGTAGTACGAGGAATTGGCGGAATAATATAATCGAATATTTGCATTTTTTATTCAAAAAGGACACTGTGAATTTGTCCGTGGAGTATCTAACGTAGCCTGTACACCCGTCACATGACCACAGGCTGCATAGTTTTCTTTCGCTTTCTGTGCGCATTGGAAATTCTTAACATCGATGGGGGTACGAAGCGTTCCATTGCCATTTCCATTCGCCACCTCCCAACATTTCTCCATGGAAAGTGGCGGTCTCGCGGAAAAAGAAAGCAAAGCATCACCGAGCGCGAGCCAAGTGAACCAGAACCGCTTCAACTGGAGCAAGCGCGTCGGGCATCCAGGTTACTCCTTTCTTCTCGGGCCGACGGGAAGGAGAAGGCGGGAAGCGGGCTCCGGTCCTCGCCCTGCCCAAGGGGCGGCGCGGCGCGGCGAGGCGGGGCGAGGCGGGGCG